GAGAGAGAGAGAGATTGACATTACTAGCCTATTAGAATGCAAAAATTATGTAGAATAAACACTATAGAGAATGAACAAGAGAGAGAAGAAATAAAAAACAAATGTATACAAATATAGAATTACAAACTATTAAAAAAAGTACAGGGAGAGAAGAAAATAGCATTTCCCATTTATTTGAACTAAAGCCCACTTTAAAAAAAAAAGATGAACTTTATCAATATGGGTTTACAACTGTTGATAAAAACAAAAGATTAGAAAATAAAAAAAATTGAGAAAAATATTGATAAGCATGAGACCACAAAGTACTTGTAGACATAGCAATGGACGAAAAATAGCAAAAAGCAACAGAAAAACATCAATAAGAGAAAAGCCAACTACTAGTTACAATATGTGTGTGTGTCTATAGAGGAAAAAATCACAGAGAAAGAGGACCAAATGAGAACAAATATAACCACTCAATAAAATAGCAACGCACTTTCTTCTTAATCCAGACTAAAACCACAACAAAACCAACAAAACACAAAATCCTAAGCCCTAAACCCTAATCCTACCTGAACAGATATCCTCTTCTCTCCGTAGACAGCCTCTCCTGGAACGAGATTCTTAGTAACCAGAGCATCTTCCTTTCCTTTTGCCACGAATACGCCTTCATGTCTATGAGGCTCTATCAGAACCTTGATCCCTCCTCTCATGGGGCCGCCACCTCTCCCTCTTCCTCCCCCTCTTCCTCTTCCTCCTCCTCCTCCTCTACCTCTTTCACCTCCGCCTCCTCTTCCACCAAAGCCTCCTCTTCCACCACCACCACCTCTGCCCCTTCCTCTTCCTCCCCCATCTCCTCTACCCTGAAATCGACCACTTCCACCTCTACCACCACCTGAAAATCGCCAGATTCCATACAAAATAGAGGCTTTATACCAGATTACGGCCAAAAAGTCAACGGAAAAAGAAACAGAAATAGAGCATAAATTTGCAGTGAAGAGAGGATTTCAGAGAAGGGGAATGATGTCATTTCGCTTACCTCGAGGAGGTCTCATTCTGAGCTCGCTCTCTCTCTCTCTCTCTCTGAAATGAGCAGAGCACACCACTCTCTCTCTCTCTCTCTCTCTCTCGCTGTCTGAGCTTTTTAGGGTTTTAGGCTTCCAGAGCATTTAAATCGTTTTACTGAACCCTAGACCGCATGCAACCCTGTCCCGCCCCTCAAATTCGGCCTGTGGACCGGGACGCAAACTCGGGATGGGGAACGTGGCCGGTATGCATTGACACAGACCGGACCCGCCCACTGAAAATTAGCCAAAAAAGTATAAGGTGAGGGTGTACATAGTGCAAGGGTCCGATTTGTATAGAGCCCGATGCTTGAACAATCAAGTTACATGCCACCTTCAAATATTGTGAAATATGGTTTTCATGCTGAAAGTTTTTGTGATAGTCTTAAAATATATTTTTAATTTTAATTATAAAATTTAAAGCTTCCAATATAGTGTATGTCAAGTAAATCTATGAAAACCTAAAAATTGACAGTCCAAAAAATGCTTACAAGATGCACTATTTTCAAAACTTGAAACTCTTTGTTTTCTCATGTCTTTACAGTTTGATGTCTAGATGATCAATTTGATGATATTTGGGCATCAAAACAACATCTTCTAATGAAAATTTTGAAGTAGGTTCTAGTTTGATTGTTTAGATCCTAGGCTTTATATAAACTTTTCCCACAATGCAAAGGCGTGTTTGATTTATAAAAATTGCGCCTTTCATAGAAGTGGGCTCGTAGTCATACAGGTATCCACATTTCAACCATGAATAAAAGTCAAGTACATACCGCTAGATCTACTTTAATATAAGGAAAAGTATACAAGGAGACCATTATCGTCAATACAAGATGGCTACAATTAATATTGACCATTGGATGTAAAATTAGATAATTGCATTTATTTTATTGACCAAGCTCACACTTCAAAAGTAATTTTTTCAAACTTTACGACGTACCCAAGCTATCAAATTTCACATGGGATGGTTGTAAGTACTTGTGACCTCTTTGTATTAAAAGTAAATGGTCTCATTATATACAACTCCTTAATATAAAACTACCCTATTATCAATTCGGGACATGCCACAGTACTCAAATATGTAATCTTCTAGAAATCAAACACACATTAGGATTAGCCGAAGAAGATGGACCAATCAATTCGATTAAATTTTGAAATAAATAAGAAAAATAAACCGAACATGATCAATATAAAAGATATATTAGTAAAAAAATTCCACAATGTTGTTTAACTAATCAAAACTGGATGGTCCGACTAGCTAAAATCACTCAAACACTAATTTTAATTAGTTTTTGACCAAATCAATATTTTGAAACCCAATGATCCACCAATCCAAGCTATGAATGGGTTGGGACTATAGAAATGACAAGCAATCCACGAAAACTAAAAAGAAGAAACGAACACAAAAGAAAGAGACAACCAACCACAACGCAATAATATACGCTGTTCGGCAACGTGCCTACATCAACGGGGGATGAGAACTACTTTACTTATATATTGAGTCTCAGATAGATTGTGTAAATTATTCAAAATACCATTATATGGATATATATTAAATCCCAAATATATCAAATCCCATGTACGGATATATTCGAAAGTTTCCTCAGGGTCTCAAGCCCCACGGGCCTTCGGCCTTTGGGGCTTTTAATGGCCCTCCAAAGTCATCTTTTTAACTCCACATTAGCAAATCTATTTCATCAGAATACAAGACATCAATCCTCAACAGGGACCATATCAATTGTAAACCCCAACACACACACATACAAAAACCCCTGCTTTCCCCCTTTAAAACCTCCATTTCATATTTCTTTCCTTTTTTTTTTAAGTTTATTTAATATTTTATTATTCTCGTTCTAAACCCCACCCACATGCGCCTTAAATTTATTCTTTAAAATATTTCTCTGGATCGATGATTCGGAGCAATCGAGATCAACAACTCGGCAATATGGGTTTGGACCAAACAAGTTTTTACTGTAGACCACACCGGTCTGACCAAGCGTCCAATCCAATCTTGATAACTATGCTTTAGATTTTCATAACATTTGGAGCAACTGAATAAACTTTTATGCTTATGTAACCAGTCATTCCCCTTTTATTTTCATTTTAGTCCTAGAGTCGGGCCAGAAACTCAAGATGGGGGACCGAGCCAAAGCATAGGCTAGGGTTAACTGAATCGGCCCTAACAGAATATTGAAAATACACCTAACAGTTGAACTATTTAATAACATGGTAATAGTTGAAATCTCGTGAGCAGTTTAATAAATTTTATTGAATGGTGTAAAAAATGGAAAAACATCATACATAATCTAAAAATGGCTTTCCTATAAAGGGGCATTGCATTTTGGATTTTGAATTCATGGACCCCCTCCATACCACTGTAAACCAAGAAAATTTATCTTTCATGGAGTACTTTCTTTCCAAAATGAGTCCCCATTCTACATCATCTCCATTTTATTCTCTCTTTCTCCAAAATCCTCTATACAGGGGGAGTCTAGACGTGTGTTTTTTTTAGTTTTCCAGACAAAAGAATATTTCACTCTCAAATCCTACTTTTGATGATAGTTGATACTTGTCACTATATCACACTTTTAAAAAAACACCAAAATATATTTTTTTTAAAAAATAACTAAAATACCCCAATAAGTGTTTTGTGCAACAATAACAATATGGCAAAGCAAGCAATGAAGCTATTGCCGATTAGGTAGTGAGCATGAGCATAGGGGTTCTAAATTAAAGCATTTCTTTTCTTACTTGACAGGGATTAGGTTCTTGATAGGCTTTGACTATTCTTTAAGATTTGCAAAACCTCTTTGCTCTTTGCAACAATAGGAAGAGCGATAAGTTTAATTTCGTAGGAGTATTTTGGTCATTTTATTTTATTTAATTATATTTTTAATATTTTACAAGTTTATAGTTAGAAGTATGGCTGCTCAAATTTTGAGATTAAATAGATATATAAAAAAATTAAAAATATAATATTCACTGTAAAAAAGTGAGACTTGAATATAAATTATAAAGTATATGGTATTATTTTTAAAATTTAAAAATATAAATATGTTAAGTTCCATTAATTCAAAACATAGTATTTTTATGTTTCAAGGATGCTATGAAACCTTGAAATGGATGTAGTCTCCAGGAGTAGTGGGATATGAACAAAAATTAGGGTTTTTTTTTAAGTCAATTAGGATTCTTTTAAGGGTGGGTTTGTATAAGGTTTCAACCTTAAATAATCAAATTAAGTGGTACCTCCAAACTTTATCATGAGATACAATTTTGGTGTCAAAAATCATAGGATGGTAAAAGAATCCATTTTTATCTCTAATTATAAATTGTTGACCTCAAAAAATGGTTCAAATCAAGTGGACCATGAATGCATGGAAATCTTGAAAACATACGGTCTAGGTAATGTATTGTAAGATGCATTTTTTTTAAGACTTGAAATCTCTTTTTTTCTCCATATCTGTATATCGAGGTGATCCATTAGATATTTTTTCAACATCAAAACAAGTTTTTTCAAAGAATTTAAAGGTATATCTTAATTCTACATTTTAAGGTATCAACATTATATAAACTTTTTCATGTAGACACATTACAACCCCCAAATCCACATTTGAGGCATCTCAGTAGCGAAAAGATTTGATGCTCCAGAGGAAGGAAACTATCTATTTTCTCCATTGGGCAAAACTCATGCTAGAAGTATATTTTAGGACCTAATATTTTGGAATAAATCTCTAGAACCTAGCGACTAATCTTAGAGAAAAAATAATAATAATTCACAATCTCTACGTGCCTAGAAAGAGTGACATCCCAATTCTAGTAACACTTAGATGGATCCCAAAATTAAGGATTAAAAAATTCCTGCCATGCATCTATTTTGTTGAAGGAATTGCTATGTAACATGCTCCCGCGGGATCCTACTACATGCGCCCATCTTAGTAAAGATACAGATATTTAGATTTTTTTTCCCGATATTTTAGTCCCTCCCAAATGCTAATTTAATATGTTTGTAACAATGGCTTAAAAAGCGGATCGGTGACCCGGATCGGGCACCTCAAAAACCGATTCGGATCGGCGAATCGGCGATTCAGATAAAGAATCGGGTGAATCGGTCAGAATAAAGCTTCAAAAAAATCCCAAAAAATTATTAAAAATTATTATAAATATTATTTTTTAGGAATTCAATAAGAAATGAAGGTACTCCATGAAGAATTTTCATGTTTTTGCATGAATATGCGAATATTGATATGTTCTTTCCCTGCATGAACTACTATTCAGCATTTAATTTACATCACACAAAAGGATAAACATAAAATTATCATGGAATAAGTATATCAACATACATGGACTATAATAAAGCATACAATTAGTAACATACGATCTAAAAATAAAATGACAGACGACGTTGTTGTTCTTCTTGATCACGCTGGTGCCATTGATTGAATTCGTTTGACAATTCATAGATTCGATCTAAAAACGAATCATTGATATTAGCAGGCGTCTAACTATACTCAAATCCCTGAGTGTTAGTGTTTTGTTGTGTTCCCAATCCAAAATCCCCGAAGCTTGTCCATTCTTCATGCTCACTTACACTGTCGTCCGCATCCCTACATTGTTGCTGTTGGGACTCGATATGTGAATAATATGGCTGGGATAGGGTGGCCTCAGAATCATCGTCTCTCTCATTTTCTCTTAGATCCCCTTCCTACTCTCCCTCATTAGGTGCAATATCACCGACATCTCCGACGAATTGTAGATACATTGATTGGCTGTTTCCTCTTTCATGCTGCTCATCACCTTCTTCAAGATCTTCCTCACCGATAGCCTCAAGGAATGCTCTCTTGTGCAACACTGACTCCTCCTTTTCTACTATCCATTGGTCTGCTGTGTCTGTGACAAATATTGTGTTTAAGTCTATCGCCCCATAGTCTTCAAGCTTCCTTCTTATTTGTTGCTCTCGGAGGTTTAAATTATAATGAACGCACACTAGTTTATGAAGCTTCTCAGAAGCAAGTCGATTCCTCATAGTAGTGTGCAACCATTGGAACGTACTCCAGTTGCGCTCACAACCAGTAGCAAAACATGTCTGGGAGAGCAACTTGATTACTATCCTCTTTAGGTGAGGTGCATCAGTACTATATATCTCCCACCATTCAGCTGGATTAAAATGCAAAAAGCATTGTAAGGGCAAGAACAATTCATAAGATTAAATATATGAATGAACAACAT